TTTAAAAGTGCGGGTAACTAATACCTGCACTTCAGTTTAACGCACTGTGCATGTATATGTATACGATTAAACTATGACACATTTTCAACAGAAAGGTCCCCAAACTATGATACAATTTATCATTATTTATTAAGGATACATTTTGGTTAAATTACAGGGCCTTTTCACTAGTTTTGGGGAAGGCGCCCTAGCCCTTTTTGTGGTGGAAAAAATGAGCGATTTTCACAATTTTGGGGAAAATATCATATTTTCACACAGTTCGGGGGAATATCATAATCTATTTGCATATCTTCCTCCAATCACATGTAAGGTTTACAATAGCACTAAGTTTTCTGTCCAACATGAGTTAAAGACATTTTTTACAGATCAATTTATTGTCCCTTTATATTAACTCATATTTCCCAATTATAGAATTTTACGTAGGTCATGCGAGGGTTCCTGGTTTGATTCAGAGGGTACATTATTATCAGTTCCGACTGTATTACTGGCACTGTTGTGCTAGGCTCGCTATTTCCGACAGTTGGGCATGTTGTGCTACTCGAACACATGGGCTTGCTATTGGATTCTGTTGCACTTACAAGGTCATCAATTCATCCAATTTTTTATAAACAATCACAAACGTCACTCAATTGTATTTTCTTGTTCTGTGACATTGTTTACATTAGCGACATCGTAAATCGGTCGCCATATTGTCGTTAAAAATCACATGTGCACTTAAAAATAAGGCAGCAGGGTTTTCCAGTGCTGTTTTTAGAAAGTTACAAACTCAGACCGAGGCGGTGAGTTAACATCAATTGTATTAAATCAAGGTATCAGCGGGTAATTGATTTTTTAGCTTTCATTGGACAAAAACAACGATCTATTTTTAAACAAGAAAGTTTGTTTACAAGTTTTATTCTTCAGTTTGTCTTTTCTTTTAAAGGGGAAATGTTTGTCAGAAGGGGAATTTTAGACTGTTTTTTGGGGAAAAAAGGTAGTAATTTGGCTTGGGGAAGTAGCCGGATACCGGCTAAAGCAAAGAAGGGTAAAAAGGCCCTAAATTATTAAACTCATTTAAAAAGTATAGAATTTTTAGTGCAGACACAATGTTCAAATTTGGCCCTTAAGTGTGACCTTGGCCATGAGTTTGCACAAGGGTGGTGTGGATTCTGCACATCACCTTGTTGAGGCAAGTTTAAAGAAAATCCTTTAACTGGTATAGGATTCATAGAGCAGACAAAAATAGTCTGACATTTGACCTTCAAGTCTGCAAGAAGTGGCAAGGTTCTGCAGACCACCTTGTTCAGTTGAAGAAAATCCTTCAAAGGGTATAGAATTGAAATAGCAGACATAGCAGTGGCATGGATTCTGTACATCACCTTATAAAGGTCAACATTTAAGCCAAGTTTAAAAAAAATCCTTCCTGGGGTATAGGTTTTAAAAAGTGTTTGATATTTGGCCTATGACTTCAAATGTGACCTTGATCTGAGACAGAGGTGGCATAGAGTTTTTCTGCACATCATCTTGTTGGAGTGAAAGTTTTATCCAAGTTTGAAGAAAATCTTTTGAAAAGGTACAGAATTTAAAGAGTGGAAACTATTGGGATGGATGGATGGACGGACAAACTGACTGGCAAATGTAACAAACTGATTCCAGTAACATCTATCCAGTAAAGCCCCCTCTACATATTATGTCACGGTTATTTCAGTATCTATATACTGGCGGGTCTATTGACAGTTCAGATTTATACAAATTATTTTAACAGTTGAAAGAAAATTTGTCAAAATAAAAAAGTTAATATTCATGTAAAAGGCTGCATGATTAATAACTAAGTATAAACTTCATTGCCATCACTTTGAATACATGTATGGGCACAGCCTGCAGCCAATAAATAACAATTGGTGCCTTTCAAAAGCTGTACTGTATACATGTCAGTGTTTTTTTTCGCCAAAATATTCGGCGAAATTCTCCCCATTCCCCACTCAAAATAGTATGTTTTTTTCCCCTCTCAAAGCTGAAATTTCCCCCTATAATATGGCAGCCAAAGTTTGCCTGCAATAAATATCATTTTTTTGCAACTAACTGCCGAAAAATGCTTTATTTTATACCTGTAAGACTTACTGTTAAGCAAGGTTTTTCATATAGGTAAGGGGAGCTACTCCTGGTATCCCAACAAGTTTATCATGTGACACATCAATATTTAAGATCCGTATAAAAATCCCCCTCCTATTGCATTTTTCCCCCTCCAATGGGCACCGACCCCCTTCCCCCAAAAGTGAAAAAAAACACTGCATGTACATGTCAGTAAAATCTATTAAATATAGCTTTAAAATGTTATCTTCTAAATAAACTTTGTATGATAAATTAATATATTCATTTGACTGCACACTTCCTTGTTCATGCACCCTTATCATGATTCATATCATGACATATGACTGATAACTTAATTTTGAATCATGTTTTTATCTGATATGTGTTTGTACTTTTTTTCTCTGCTTCAACTCATTTCATTAGGTCTGAACATCAAATTATACGGGGAAGTCAAAGACCGGGCCCGCGAAGCGGGTCCGGGCTTTGGCTTGCCCGGCTATAGACTACACGTGTATATTTAAAAGAAAATCAAATAAAAAACAATTAAAAAATATATAGAATTCTATACCTATCAATGAAATTTTCAGTGTCAGTTCTAGTCTGGCGCCGCCATTTACAATGTAACTCAATGATAAAAGGCGGGGTATTCCGATAACGGAACAAATCTCAACTTTTCGGATAAATAATAAACGTCGAGTGTTCCGAGTGAAAACGGAAGCGGTGCATGTAATACCGAATGACAATTTTAAAACGGAAAGAAAGAAAGCAATTTTTTAAACGACTTCCCCGTTCATACTCATAGGCTTTGCCTAATTTCATATTACTATTTCACGTTAAAAGTACATCGAGCTCGCTTTGAGGCTTTGTCTTTTTAATATTACGGGCTTTGGCTTGCCCGGCTATAGACTACACGTGTATATTTAAAAGAAAATCAAATAAAAAACAATTAAAAAATATATAGAATTCTATACCTATTAATGAAATTTTCAGTGTCAGTTCTAGTAAGACGCCGCCATTTACAATGTAACTCAATGATAAAAGGCGGTGTATTCTGATAATGGAACAAATCTCAACTTTTCGGATTAATAATAATCGTCGAGTGTTCCGAGTGAAAACGGAAGCGGGTATATATAATACCGAATGACACCTTTAAAACAGAAAAAATGAAAGGATTTTTTACCGACTTCCCCGTTCATAGGCTTTGCCTAATTTCATATTATTCAAAATAAATAACGCAGGCAATTACCTGATACATTTAACTCTCCATCAAGGAACCACCTGATGTGACCTCTTGTAAGATCACAGTCTTTAACCCTTCCAAAATCTCTATACCAATTAATACGAGATCTTGCCAGTGTGCCCCAGAAAAAGTCTGGCGAGTTCAGACTAAACTGGTAAAGCTCATCGTGAGTGGCAAACGTGTCAAACTCTGGAAAAGGTGTCGTGGAATGGTCTGTGAAACCGTCAGATAACGTTCTCCCCACTTGCAAAGTTCTGACACTTTTTTCATTCTTTAGCAACTTTGATTTTGGTGCATTTCTACCCAGTACACTAGGTAATGCGACAACGAAACGTTTCATTTCGAAATTATATTCTGACACAGCCGAATGATTGCAATTTCCACTTTTGTTTTGTAGAAACTTTGCACTTGTTTACTTTTTATCAAGCTAACGATATTATCAGTAAAGTAAGTGCAGCGGACACGAATCTGCACCGCCGCAGCAACAACACAACTATTCGTACTCAAAATATATGTACCCATTCGCTTCCCGTTTATATTCTAATATAATTGATTTAGTATTTGTTTCTTATGCCGCAAAAGTTTTTCTTTGTTTTAGTTTTGGATATTTTACATCAATGATAAGATAATAAACACTTGTCATAAATGATCACAACTGATTGAAATACAATATTTTTGAGTGCAAAATTAAAATGTTCGATTTTTAGTAGTGGTAGTCTGCATCTTTGTGATATACGGAGCAGTTGTAATATCATTCAATTGCAAAACCCACTGAGTTATTGAGTAACACCACTAAATGCTTGTTACACGAAATATGCCTGAAGAGTTTAGCTCCCTTTAAGTGATAATGTAAATATTTAAGTAAAGTTTAAAGCTGTCTAAGTAAATTTGAGTGCACAATTTATTTCTTTAAAAATATTTAAAAGTAGTTTATTTTAAAGGGTATGAACATGACACTATTTGGATAAATTATTCATTTGAATTTTAAAACATGTTTAATATATTATCCATAATAATGTATTATTAGTGCCTTTGTATTTTCTGTACTATTACATGACAGTATATATAGCCATCGTTACGACATTTTAAATCGGAGCGTGTGTCCCGGTTGACACATCTGAACATCGATCGCTGACTCTCGGCTGATCTGTCCAGAGTAGCTGTCCCTCCACACGTTTCTGACACCGGAGCTCTCGCTGCCTCGCCGCACGATCGAGCACCAATCAAAATTGGCCCGCAGACGACTCTCATTGGGTAGTCTGTGAGTGCCGTAGGGTTTACGTTGTTTCTGCCTGCTTCTCTAGTAACTTAGGTTCAAATTTGGGAAGTTGGGGTAACTCAATGATTTATGACGCTCCTATACGGCACTGCAACGTGTGCAGTTTGCCATTCTTTTACTTCTTAAAAACAAATGTTACAAAATATCCTTTTTATACCATTTTTTTGACATTAGTGAACGACAGATAGATATTTAGATATAAAGATACTGTAATATAGATGCTGTGTCTAGATGCAAAGTGCTTAGCATGTAAGGGTGATTTTACTACCGCGGAGGTCGCACCTGCAGTCAGGTAACTCAATGTTTTATGACACTCCTACATGGCACTGCCATGTCTGTCTTTTTACCTGCAGTTTGCAATTCTTTTATAAGAAATTATTTATTTATTAAGAAATATTCTTCTTTTATTATTTAATATGCAAAACATATTTAGCTAATTTAGATACATATGTACATGTATGTAGATAATGATTGAGGCTTGAAATAAACATCGCCATTCGGCTAATGATGATTTAACTCTCTTTTTGCGAGACAGTTTCATCAATCTTACAATTATCAACAGGCACGAATTGTTGAAGGTTATTATTTACATGTAAAGCATTAGTTTCCAAAATCATTCTAACAATTCAGGAAATTTGATAAATTAGTATAATGGACAAGTATTACTGGGAGAGTTTTGCTGTAATAATAATTTGAGAAAATGTACATGTACGCTTATAAGTTTTGATAAAATCGTTTTCTCTTTTTTTGCAAATTTGATGTTCGCATCAGATCTAGTTCTATTATAAACCATCTAAATCGTTAATATACAAAATAAAGCAAATGAAGAAGCAGTGGCAATACTGTCTTCATCATAAATTACCTACAGAAGAGTGTAATTAATTGTAAAATGATGCAAATGGGGAATTATTCGTAGGAGAATATTTTCCTTATAAAAAATGAAAAGTTGTCTCCCCTCCACCTAAAAGGACATGTTTAGTAAGTTATGTACCATTGGACAGTTTCTATTAATTCCAAAAAGTAACTGCTAACTTTTATACAAGGATCACTTCAAAATAAATGAATGAATGAATGAATGATTTGATACGGTATGGCTTAAAAAAACACTCGAAATACAAAATTAATATATGTACATCCAAGTCTCTCTTCATTGGGATAAATACATGTACTCGTAATAGAGTATGTCTGTTATAACAAATTTCCACATGGATTTACTTTTTTAAGGTAATTTGAAGATAAAATTACAAAAATCTTCAAAATGTCTATCTACATTTATATAGACTACGGAAAAAATCGGACATTGTGTTTGTTTATCGCAGGACGGATCACAAATATTCTGTTTCATACACCCCTTCAATACCCTAGTCGGTTTAATTCATGAATATTGGGAAAAAAAATATAAAAAAATATTCATTTCCCGCCATTATTTTATTATCTTGGAAGTGCTACTCGATTATCAACTCGATAATCAACATATTCAACACAAAAATAAGTATCGTGAAACATACCAATCCTTATCTTGTAGGCTGTTCATGAGATTAAATTGTCATAAGACACTGGCTCTCTTTAAATTTACAAAATTCCAGACCAATATAATCAGAGTTACATCAAAACAAAAACAAAAATCATTTTCAAACGGATCACTCACGAAAGGTCTATCCGAATATTGATTTAAGGCGTTTTAGCATCTTTAATTGAATTACATACTACATAATTGATTCTTTTACATAAATAGCAAGTTAACTATCGATCTTCTTCCGTTTTTAAATGGTTCAACAAGTACAAAAAGTAGTCCTAATAAATCTCATTATAATAACTCATTAGAAGTCTGCCTTCGTCAGCACGAGGTATTATGTACAGTATGGAACCTAATGAGCTCAAACAGAAACTTTTATTCTCTTCTAGATATAATAAGTTATACTAAAGACGTTCATTTTTTTTCTTCAAATATTAGCAATGTCACATTGATGTCCAAGACTCTGGCTAACATGCAACTGCTATGTCATTTTGTACATTATTCTAAAATCGGTTAACCGCCTCCGTGGTCGAGTGGTTAGAGTCGATGACTTCTAATCCAATTACCTCTCTGGCGTGGGTTCGATCCCCGGGAGATGCTTTGGTAGTTTAGCGCGGAGGAAGGTAGTCAAGTACTGGTGTAACTCTCCAGGAACGATGGTTAGGAAACTACCCGCCTATATGACTGAAATACTGTTGGAAAAAGGCGTAAAATGACACAAACAAACAAACAAAAACTAAAATCGGTTGACCGAGACGTAGACAGAACAATATGGTGTTCAAGTAAATAAATTTTCGATTCGTAACGTATGGTACTTATATCGATTAGGAAAAAAAGATGCATACAAATGTTGAGAGTAATAATAACAATTCATGGAAGCAAATCATAAACAATTTATTGATACACTATTTAAAGTAACCATTAATTGTTATATTAACCAGTTTATATTGTCGATATATCGCATTTGTCCAGGACAATGCCTCTAAATCAGTTATTCTGATCTCCAAATTATGTACAGGACATTGATGTTACAAAAATTAATAGAAGATATAATATAATATTCAAAAAATGAAATTGAATTAATATTGAAATAGATTTAGATATGTCTGTATAACAGCTTCAATTGCCTCTGATAGAGAAATATTGTCATATACTGGGTTCTTATCGGTATTGATGCATCACAAGATACTTTTTATACCAGACTTTCAATAAAGGATATGTCTATCTACTTCAAATTCCTCCGACATTTGGAAACAAAGGCGCACTTATGTAAAAATACTATCTAAAATGTGTAAGAGAATCCTCTCAGACTGAAAAGTGATACATTTTTGGGAAATGAGAAAATCTTTTAAGCATGTGATACCTAAAAGTAATTGGCCTCTTCAGACGTTATAACATATCAAAATTCCCTGATGTTCTAGATTATTTGACGTCAAGCAAAGAAACCAAAGCTGTTGTGTTTACTCGATCTGAACGCACCACATGCGTATTCAATTCAATATATTTATTGCATAAAACATATGACCCATTGATATTTGTAATTAATTTGTTTGTCGGTGGCGATATTTTCGGCACATTATAATTTTTATATAATTTAACATTATAATTTTTATATAATTTAACGAATGATTAAATGTTAGTTGATATTCTAGCTGGTTCAACTTATACAATTTATAAGAATTGGCAAATGATATTCTTACATGTTTCTACCAAACGCACCACAAGTTTCAGCCAATTTCTGTCAAAGTTTTCGTCCTTGTTCATGTGATATAAAATCCATCACCATTTAGCATGTCAGTCATATTATATCATAAATGTCTGATATATATATATCTGTGACAAACATATTTTATGGTTAATGTGGCTTCTTTCTGTATACATTTGTAATGCCATGTAAATGATTATTCTTAAATCAAAACTTTATTAATGAAATATTAAATGCAATTACAATCTGTATAAATGATACGGAAATTAATACATAATATATTATGGCCTATTTCATGTTCAATAGTAATTTGTATTGTGCTTGATGATAAATTCACTAATCACGAACGATGATAATAAATAACACCAGTACGTACGGTATTGCTTTTACCAGTAAATCACTGCTGCATGATGTTACGGGGTTTTCTGACTGCGTCTGTAGAATATAAGAAACACATATTTCAGGGATTAAATATTGTTTAGTCTCTATCTTATATGATTTATTCAAGTCGTGATTGCCATAAATCGGAATATAGCGCTTAATTAATAGCTAAATATGTTTGCACATCGGACATTTTGCAACGTTGTCATACCGGAAACAAAGACAAAGATGGAACTATAACTCAACAGAGATTATGTTTCTCTGTATTTACAATACATTTTGACAGAGAATCCTAATATACAATCTGTGCTCAGAGACTAACGATATGTACTTCTTTCAACATTGATTAAAGGCACTATTATCTAAGGAAAACAAAACATTATCAAAAGAACAATGCTCTAAGAAAATTATATATTTCTGTTAAAAGCACACGATTATCTGCCTTCATCATGTTTAAAAGTGGTTCAGCAAGTGCAATTAATGCGTTTTAATTTGATCGATTCTCCTAAAAAAGTAATCTCTTAAAAAAGGAAACTCCTAAAAATGTATCACAATTTCTACTAGAATGAAGAGCATGAGCTCAACCCAATTTTTAATACACTATGTGTGTTGCAAATTCACTATATGGTTTGAGTTTTTCATAAAATTTCTTTGAAGCGTTGGTACAGAAATGTTAACAATCGATTCTATAGTACGTTTTTCATTATCATATTTATTTGTATTTTTAAGAATCATTTACAAATCAAATCCAAAAACAATGTTCAAAGAGAGTTGCGCATAGTGTAAAACTGTGTGTAATCATCGCAATTCAAAAGTGCATTCACATGAATTACAATACCACATATATATATAGTACTAAAAAATAAATGGAATTATTTTTTTTTTCTATTTATATATATCGAGTAATCACGAAGCACTTGAAGATAACGATCGAGATTTGCAATGGCTAAGCAAGCCTAAAAGCATGTATTTGTCAATATTTTATATTTGCACAGAATGATGTACAGTGTATATAACTATATTATGTGATAAACCATATTGATCACTGATTCTCACTAGTGTTAAAGATGGGATAATAATAAAAGTTACTGTACTAGAGAATCTATATATCAATTCGAAACTCGTATCAATAATGCTATCCTTCTTATTGCATTTGTACGTATGTCAATGATTTATTCTGTTGATGAAAATAAATTATATTGACGATAATGCAACCGGTATCTTATGGTGTATTTAGAAGTCGGATATAGCCCCGTCTATTCAGACTTTCTAAACCGGTGAAAAGGAGGTACACATCAAACCCCACTTTCAATCAAAACAATATATCAAGCAAATCATTTCTGTTTCTATGAATAACTCAAGAAATATTCCAGTACAATATTGATTCTGGGCAGCAAATATAGTTCACAATTTATTTCTAAATAAACATAACAGCATATTTACTAACAATTTTCTTGAATGTGCTTCTTACCCAATAGCCTAATCAATACAAAGCAATCATCAAAATAAATGTTACTGAAAAGATTTTACGCCCTCTTTTTTATTTTGCTTCTTATGTTTCCAGGAAAGTGAGAAAAGAAATCAACTGTTGGGTTAGATTGATAAAATCGCAACACTCGGGCAATCGGTTCAATCGGGAACTCGTCAAGGCTTGTTCCCGATGGAACCAATCACCTTCAGATTGGGATTTCCCAATCATCTATCTCACCAAATGATGCATTCTATTAGTTTCACTTTGGTCAACTTTAAATGTCACAGCACTTTTCTCTCTCAAAGGAACTTGCTGGTAAAGGGATAAGAAATTAAAGATCTGCCGGGAATACTATATACATGGATTCGTATCAATTATTTATTGCAAGAAGATAGAATAAAAAGCAACACTTTTGTGTAAACGTACCAATCTCCTTAGATATGTTATTATATATTTCTTTGGCATTTTTGTTGTGATTTATTATTCTTATTAATATTAAAATAAAACACGTAAAAAATCTGGAACTCCTACTTCGCTTACCATTGAAATGAGTGTATATTAAAAAAAAAACATTTTCGTGATGAGTAATCTTTTCAACAAGTTTGTTCAAGACTTTCAGTCAATAATATGATCGAGTTCAGACTTCCTTCAAAATGCAAACATTGATTGGATATGCAATGTTATGTATTTTACTTTAATGTCATCATGTTTTCTATTGCACCAACACATTATTAGGTCTTATGATAGTTACCAACTTTATTGGTGGAGGAAGACCTCGGCTTAGGTGCCCCTCCGTGTATTAATTATTTTAGACACTTGTAACGGGCGCCATATACAGTAGAACCATGTGTACACGTTCCCTAAACAAGCTTGATAACTTCTTCACATGAAAAAGTTCAAAGTCCCTGTCGTGATTCGAACCCACGGAGGTGGGGGGCAAGGAGTTTAATTGCAGTCAATCAGCTTAACCCATGTTAACCACACAGTCCCGGATGCCCCATCCCTTATTTTCTATTGACGTGTCTATAGAATGTGTGTTCAATTTTTTAATAAGCTTCAATTTTGTTAAGGTAGTGAAATATTCGGTGTATGGTCTAGGAATAACTTTTATTCATGTTCACGTTTATTATAAATGCTACATGTAAATATCACACAATGAAAGAAAAATAAAATAAAAAACTGCAAAAGACGGCAATTAAAATGGCCTGATTTACCTTTAGTATTCGATGCGAACAAAATCGTTGAAAACTGTACAGTTAAATCTGGGACATAATAATTATGATTATAATATGTCCCAGGTTTTTATTTATAACATTTAAGCTTTTCAGAAAAGTCTACGGTGCAGGGAAATACAAAAGTGGCAGTCACTTCTTTTCAAATACATACATGTAGACTTGTATTATGGAAATGTCTCAAACTCTTCTCTGATATAACAATGCCATTAATAGCTTAGATATTTTGCATGTAGCATTGCCTTAATTGTGGAGCTCTACAAAAGTTATAACAGACCAAAAGTGTCCTCGCTCGGGGATTTTAACTTGTTTAGTAAAAATGCCTAAAAAATCTTCTTTAAAATTACATGGCCTAGATCTTGGATATGTTATATGTGAAACAGTGAGTCACATCAACAAATATTTTAAAAGTTAAACAACGACGAACCAATTTGACTTTATTATTGGTGCAATGATTACACATAGTTACTCCCCTTTGATAAATGAACGCCATTGACCATGCAAATTAATTTAGTAGAATATCAGGTAAAACGTTTTAATATGTAAAGGTTTAATTTCATTCAATACAAGAGTAGACTATGAATAATTAAAACATTTTGTTATTTGACTATGAGCACAAACATTTATTATAATTTTTTATCGAAGCTTTTAATTATTTGTGTAACAGTGTAGGAACTAGGAAACGGGTCTTTCAAATAGCATGGTCTAGGGGTGAAAAAGAATTGTGTTTTTAGGACATATCTAGTCAAGAAAGCAATGCCTGACCTCATATACCAGCTATAATCATTTGCAGAGTAAACAATAGAATATTCAAAACTAAAGCATTTGTTGCTGAAATATTGAATAACATGTTAAAAATAAAAAATTAAAACACCCAAGGTTTTACCTGAATTATATCACATCATGTACATATCTGTCCAAACACATGGTACTGTAGTGTAGACAATTTAGGTAATTTTTATACCCTACTTGTGGAGCCTCAGATATATGTGTCAATAGTGAATACAATCAGAAATAAACAAACTAGTTTGTTAGTTAGGAGAAGAACCTAGCTGAACTGTGTCAAATTTTTAGGTCCCTAGGTTAAAAATTATGAAATCTGTACGGAAAAATGTTAAAAAAGTGTCCGGTTGATGGTCCCCGACCAGTACCTGTCCAGCATTGCCATGTGTTTAATGTTGCACTTTCATTTTACTTTTTAAATTAAATATAGGCCTGAAAAGTAACACCTTTTTCACCTTTATTAAAAAATTCATAGCAGTTTTCCGGACCTTTTTTATTTTGAATATAATTCAGTACCATAAAGCAATGTTAAGATGGTTTTATCAGACAAACAGAACTTCCCAACCTTTTCTGTTTCATTTGCAATAATATTTTTAGTTCCAAAGTATTGATTTACCTAAAAGTTGGTCTTACTTATTGCGCATGGATATTCAAACTAGAATTCCCCAGGTGTTGCTTATTTTTTAAAGTCGAAAGTTCTCTTATGTAACTTTAAATAACAGGCAAAACTTCAAAACATATAAATCTTTGTACTATTTTAAATGCTGTTTAGCATAGAAAACAAATGTCTCTCTGATTGATGAAGTAATGTGGATGCCTTACTGGTAAAAATAAATTGTTACTGTAACTGGAAGAAAATGATAAACGGCAGGAAAACTGCTAGGGGACGGAAACTGCTAGGAAACCAGTATAGAAATAGTAAATAAAGGGATAATAAAATTAAGAGATAACAACAAAATTGTTTAAATTACACTAAAGGTTACACAAAGTGCACTTGGTGTGCACTAGATGTGCACTTCTAGTGCACTTCAATGTGCACTTTGAAGTGCACTTCATAAGTGCACTTTGAAGTGCACTAGAACTATTATATGTATTAAGTAGTTATTGTTTGATTTTATTAACCTGTCAAAGCCATACTGATTATACGGTCAATGCACAGAATGTATTAATATTCGATAAATGTTCGGTAAATTCCGTGAGAGGTACGCAGTAAGATGTGATTAAACTCATCTAGATACACTGACCGTTATAGCACTACAGGTATAGTTTATCTGAATGTCCAACGTGTTTTAAGATCGAGACAGAGTCCAGGTTTTTGTCTTATTTGTAACTATTTTCAACATTTTTGAAGTTGTGGTTGTTCCGTTTTTAATATGTTTTGCACTTTTTTGTAAATACTATACTTTTGTATTTAACATTGTTTAATAATTAATACTGAAAATTCATTCGGATTAAAATCAATAAATGTAATGTCAGTGCCGTAAATACAATACAAAATGTGACAATTCAGTGTTTTTTAGTTGTTTCATATCCGTGTAGACAATTTTGCAAGCGTTTGACCATTTTCATTAAAATAAACTTAAAAATAAAGAAAGAATAAGTCTAAAAAGAATGTCAGAAGAAGGGATCAAACCTTGGACCTCTCATGCATTAGGTAATCACTTAACCGACTGCGCTATTACGGATGTTACGAGAACCCTTATTGAGCTAGTGGCAGTTTTCCAAACTTAGTTATATATACCCAATATTAATTCTCGTAAAATAAACGGACACAACCGAAGTGGGATCGAATATTTAAATGAGTGCTATAATGTATTCACAATTGACAGGTCAATAAAATCAGACTATACCTTTTATTAATATTTCAATAAATAATTAGACTTACAAAAAAAACCACAACAATAGATATCTTTGTAATAGTTTTTAGCTCGACTATTTGCAGAATAATCGAGCTAATGCAGTAACCCATATGTCGGCGTCGGTGTCAGCGTTGGCATCCCTGTGGTTAAGTTTTTGCGTGTAACCTGGTATCTCCATAACTACTGAAGGGAATGGATTGAAACTTCACACACTTGTTCACTGTGATTATCTTACATGATTGGCACAAGTCCCATAACTCTGACATACTTTTTTGCATAATTATGCCCCTTTTTCGACTTAGAAATTCTTGGTTAAGTTTTTGCGTGCAAGTTGGCATCTCCATTACTACTGAAGGGAATGGATTGAAACTTCACACACTTGTTCTCTGTGATTATCTAACATGATTGGCATAAGTCCCATAACTCTGATTTGCTTTTTTGCATAATTATGAATCTTTTTCGACTTTGAATTTCTTGGTTAAATTTGTGCGTGCAAGCTGGTATCTCCATAACTACTGAAAGGAATGAATTGAAACTTCACACACTTGTTCAATGTGATTATCTTACATAATTGGCACAAGTCCCATAACTCTGATATACTTTTTTGCATAATTATGACCCTTTTTCGACTTAGAAATTTTTGGTTAAGTTTTTGCGTGCAAGCTGGTATCTCCATAAATACTGAAGGGAATGAATTGAAACTTCACACACTTGTTCTCTGTGATTATCTAACATGATTGGCATATTAAGTCCCATAACTCTGATTTGTTTTAATTTTTTTTTTTCATAATTATGCCCCTTTTATGACTTAGAAATTCTTGGTTAAGTTTTTGCATGCAAGCTGGTATCTCCATAAATACTGAAGGGAATGGGTTGAAACTTCACACACTTGTTCACTGTGATTATCTAACATGATTGGCATAAGTCCCATAACTCTGATTTGCTTTTTTGCATAATTATATCCCTTTTATGACTAAGAAATTCTTGGTTAAGTTTTTGCGTGCAAGCTGGTATCTCCATAACTACTGAAGGGAATGGATTGAAACTTCACACACTTGTTCTCTGTGATTATCTAACATGATTGGCATAAGTCCCATAACTCTGATTTGTTTTTATTTTTTGCATAATTATGCACCTTTTTCGGCTTAGAAAAATCTAGGTAAAGTTTTTGCTTGTAAGCTGGTATCTCCATAACTTAACTGAAGGGTTTGTGCCTTTTTTGGAACAATTTTATGCATTCATGATAATAAAGCAGTGATTAATTCGATAAAACATCTTAATAACAAGCCTTTGTACCTTTTCGGACAATTTTATGTATTTATATTGGTAAGCATTATTATACTCAATGAAACACACTAATCCCATACGAAAACTTCCGCCCTGAAAAAAGCAGAAATTCCGCCTAGCTACTAGGCGTAATCCGTCTAAGGCATTTCAGGTTTACATATCACAGATTCCTCCTATAAGCAGGAATACGCTGCGAAATATGCAAATTTTCTTAGGAGGAAAACAGTTAGGGTAGCAGGAAAAAAATCCTCCTTAGAAAATTTAACCAGGAAAAAATTCAGCTTAAAGAAAGCACTAGCAGGAGAAAATTCCGCCTTAGGAAAATTCTTAGCCGGAAAAAATTCCGCCTAAAATATTTTAACCAGGAAAAAAATACCTACTTAGAAAATCACTAGCAGGAGAAAATTCTTCCTAAGGAATACTAGCAAAAAATCCGCCTAAGGAAATGAAGTTATTCAATTTTGTGATAGTACACTAATAAAGCTGAATTATGGATGGATACAACATTATTTTTTAGCTGCATAAGAATAATTGGAATCCAAAATTGCAGACAGACAATAGGTGATCACAATTACAAAGCTTTTAAGTTATTTTTGTGAGCTTTACCATAATGTTTTCTACATTAGGGTGCATGTACAGTACGTAAAAGAGTCACACAAAAAACAGAAACACGAGTTATATTTTTTATTGCACTGCTATTGTATTGTTTTAATCCATGGCAAATTATTTCATTTTATTTCACTGTAAATGTTTTTTGTTCAGCCAGTTGTTTTCATTTTTATTCCAAGCATAACTGATCTGCTTTAACTTATGGTATCGTTAATATCCTTGTCCGTGACTCCTCCCCTCCCATTCTTTTTACACCAGCTTGAGACATATCCTGAAACACAAACAGTCATCAGTAAAACACTGCCACCACTAATATCTTATATTATTGTTTCTTGTCATTGTATGCAGTTATAATTATACATGCATTTAAACTATAATTCATTACAACCAAACTTAGTGTTACAAATTTACTCTCAAACTTAATGCAAAATTATTTAATTTATTTGAAATATATTTTTATTGTTTAAATGTATCCAAAAGTTACTTACCTGAATTTTTATGATATTGGTATAATATCTTCTTATCCAAGGTCATAATGTAGCATTCAAAATTCATTTACAACTGAGCATATCCAGATTATTGTCATTTTCATTCACAAGGCTAAGTCTTATTTTTTTTTCTTTGAAAAATTCAAAAATATTCAATCCTTACACTTTAAACAAAATATTATCTCAAAAATTGCTTATATATTATCACCACAATTTTTAACTATCAATAAAATCCTTTGTTATTTGCTTTATTTCCACTGTCTAAGCTTCTGCTGACCCATATTTCCTAGATTTCAAATTATGGACAAGTCCATGATATGATGGTAAACAGGGATAATCCAACCCATCGTTTTATTTTCACAATTATATAAAAATACCAGAAAATAAATGGAAAAAGAATCCAAAATTCATAATAAATATCTTTAAAAAAAACTTTGCAAAGTCCTTCTTAACAGACTCATCATATAAAATGTACAAAGTAACTGTTGCTTCCCCCCAAATAAATCGCATGGAACAGTCTGGACTGTAGCAGAATTTACGATCTGACCTGTGTGTTATCAGGTCTGTGGTGTTAAATCATAGTAGAGTGGTTACTAGAGGCAGTATTTATTTATTTATCCTGTTGATAAGAAATTTTCAGGGATATTACTCATTTAATTATATTACATTAAAAAGCTTAATATATGAGTTTAGTTCATACCCAAATTTAACAAAGTGAAATATATTCTATGCAAAAGTCATCACAACATCATTATATAATATGTTCTAAGTTTTAGTTTTGTTGTGGAGTTTTTTTATCAATTAATGATTATGTATGTTTATGTTTGTACAAACAATATTTTAGTTTTGAAAATTAACAATGAATAAAAGCAGCAAAATAATTGTTGATCACTTAATAATCGATTTATTATATACCTGTCATCTGCAGAAATTTCTCCAAATTCAGAAATCTGTCTAGTAAAATTTTCTAAGTTCAATTTCTGGTTAACAAGAAAATCTAAGTACATAATTCCTGTTAACAATAACTGACAAAATTCTAAGTCCTAAAACCCGTCTAAATTATTGCTCATCCCATATTTTCCGCCTAAGCCTTAGGCGGGATATGAAATTGCTTAGCAGGATTTTTTACAAAATTCCGTGTCCGTCTTAAATTAGCAGGAAAATCTTATATACACGGAAATTTTAAGCGTTTTCCTGCTTATATTAGGCGGAATCCTGCTATCTTTTTCGTACGGGTTGTGACAACTTTACGAATAGTCAAGCGTTACTGTCCTCCGACAGTTCTTGTTCATTATACTCTGTATGTATTTCATAGAAATTAAATGAAAATATTTATCCATGGTATGTATACTTCAAAATATGTAAGTGGTACGTAACCTCTATCCAACTAGCTTATGGAATGTTGGTGGTTCTACTCAGGTGCCCTTTCGTGCCTGAAATAATGTAAGGACGGGCACCTGAGGTCTTCCTCCACCATTAAAGCTGGAACGCCGCCATATGACCTATACTGTGTTGGTGCGATGTAGAACCCAATCAAACAAACAAACAAATTAGTCATGAATATTAGAATAATATCATGAATAGTATGTTGATATTTTAAAGGTATTTTTTCCCCAGGATTGAACAGGATCGTAGCTATATGTCATTTTGGTATTGTACCGTAAAAATTCTAAGAGACTACAAAATAGTAACCGTAAATTACCTAATAAATGCCCCAATCTGTTTTTTTAGCTCACCTATATCAAAGTGAAATGGTGAGCTTTTGTGATAGCTTTTCGTCCAGTGTCTGGCCATCGTCCGTCTGCCGTCCGTTAACTTTTACTTTAAACAACATCTCATAAACCGCTGAGCCAATTTCATCCAAACTTCACAGGAATGTTCTTTGGTGGTCATCTTTAAAAATTGTTCAATGAATTTAATTCCATGCAAAACTCTGGTTGCCATGGCAACCTAAAGAAAAAACTTTAGATGCCTACTTTTAAAAAATCCAAACATCTAGAGCATAGATATTTGGCATAAAACATCTTCTAGTGAGTGTTTCAGGCTTCGCGAAACTGCTGAAAAATTTGCCTGACATTCGGTCAGACAAACTTTCAATTCTTGTCTGACCGAAAGAACTTTTGTCTGACCGAATTTTTTCCCCCAAATATATATGTATATGGTAATACCTTGGTGTTTTTTTTAAAGACATAACAACTTTTAAGATTTGCAACACAATTTTATTCCCTTAAATAAAACATTAGTTTATCCAGATTGATGGACTCACAGGCGCTAGTCACATATTCAAATATTTTACATAACCAGTCTATATATGTATTTAAAGATATATAGTAATTATAGCCCATATAAAACTTTAAAAAGTTTGTTTCAAGCACCTGTGGATGGACTCTGTTTGGAAATCAAAACATTCATGATCAAAGCGGCCATTTTTCCATTTACCCACAAATTTTCTCGGCGGGCGCCTGGACTCGTATTCCTTTTGTTTCGCTTTTTTTTCTTCATTGGATAGTTTACGTTTTTGCCGGGCGTAGCGCCAGCGTAATAATGTAGTAACACCGACATTTTGGTTATTGACAGTCGTATGTATCGGACACTTATAATGAAACGGCGAATCAAAACTCGTTTTACATTTTTTTTATTCAAGGGAGAAAACTCGGTCTTGATCGGTCTTGGATATATCCCGGTATTCGTACCGGACATAAGGTCCGGAACTCCGAAAAAAAATATCGGACCGACGGTCCGACAACTTTCGCGAAGCCTGGTGTTTACCAAGTTTGTTCAAATAAAAGCCCTGGGGTCAAAATTGGCCCTGCCCCAGGGGGGTAATTGATTTTCACTATATGCATATAGTAAAAACTTAAAAAATCTTCTCTTAAAGTACCCAAAGAGCTAGAGCTGAAATATTTAGCATGGAACATCTTCTTATGGGTGTCTGTAACCAAGTTCATTCAAATAAAATCCCTGGGTTCAAAATTGGCCCCGCCCTACATGATTTTGCCTACATGCATAATGTAAAAACTTATAAAATCGGGTCATTGATTTTCCTCTTATATATGCATAGTAAAAACTTAAAAAATCTTTTTTTAAAAAACCCAAAGAGCTAGAGTTTAGATACTAATCATGAAACACCATCGCGTGAGTGTCTTCCAAGTTTGTTCAAATAAAACCCTGGGGGGGGGGGGAGAAGAGGTCATTGTTTTTCCCTATATGTGTGTAGTAAAACTTAAAATCTTCTTTTAAAAAAACTCAAAGAGCTAGAGCTGAGATATTTAGCAAGAAACATGTTCTAATGGGTGTCTACCAAGTTTGTTGAAATCAAAGCCCCTGGGTTTAAATTGGCCCCGCCGGAGGGGGGGGGGGGGCTATATACGGGTGAGGGACTTTTGTTTAATTTATTATGGTTATTGCATAAATTATATAATAGGCCAGTTAATTTCTCTATCCTCAATCACATGATATTGGCATATAAACATTGTAACTAAATACAAAAATGTATGCCTGTTGTTGGTGTTAATGGAACAAAAATTCATGAAATACTTTACATTGTACTGCCAACAAGCTACATTCTTGATCACAATGTCTATGTTCTCTTTTCAGGTCCAATGAAGCTGTCACATTTTGTCGTTTTGTCGTTCGAACCCTACATTGCCAGATGGCTTTCCATAGTCTGTGTTTGGTATGCTGACCAGTGAGAATTTTTAAGCAGTAAGATATTTATGTTTGTTTAACAGTTTTGATATATTTGCTGTCAATTGCTCAAGCAAATGAACAAAAAAAAGAGAGAAAGAAATAAAGCATACAAAAAACACAAAGATAAAGTGTAATGATAGATTAATATATTGATCATTTTCAATTAAAAGATAGACCATGAGTGTATTATATAACCGAGAAGTAAATAATTGAAAAATTAACGTTTTATTCAACTTAGAATTTTAAAATATAATATTTGGAAACATAAATAAATGAAGGTGTCTGTACAAGTTTCAAAATGGTAAAATTCATAAATATTAGCTACTTAGATGAGTTACGCAAGTGAAATGTGTGATAAATTATAACCTTTAATTCAGGGTCTTACTTCTGGGAAGGAACTACAAGCTGATGAAATGGACAGTAAATACCCACTTTGTGAGAAGTCATCATCTCAATCAGAAAAAGGCAGTGTTCAACAAAATATTGAGATGCTCGTTCTTTGTGAAATAACACATAGCAATGATGTTTGCAGTCAACCATTTTATAAACGAAGTTCTCTGAATACACAAATGAATATACATTCTGGCGAGAAAAATTATAAATGTGAAGTCTGCGATAAGGCGTTTTCTACTAGAGGTAGTCTTGTCATATGACAATACACAATGGCAAGAAAAAAAACTAAGTGTGAACTGTGTAAAAAAACATTTTCTAACCGATGTAATCTAATCAGGCATATGACAATACACACTGGCAAGAAGAATCAGAAATGTAACTTTTGTGATAAAGCATTTCCTGAACGATATAATCTTATCAGGCATATGAAAATACACACTGGTGAAAAGAATTACAAATGTGAAGTGTGTGATAAAGCATTTTCTGACCAAAGTGATCTTATCAGACATATGACAATACACACTGGTGAGAAGAATCATAAATGTGATGTGTGTGATAAAGCATTTTCTCAACGAGGTAATCTTATTAGTCATATGACAATACACACTAGAGAGCAAAAAAATAAGTGTGAAGTGTGTTGTAAAGCTTTTTCTAAACGATGTAATCTCATCAGACATATGACAATACACACTGGTGATAAGAAGCATAAATGTGAAGTGTGTGATAAAACATTTTCACAACGAAGCTCACTGAAGACACATATGATAATACACACTGGTGAGAAGAATCATAAATGTGAAATGTGTTTAAAAACATTTTCTAAACCAGTTAATCTTATTACACATATGGCAATACACACAGGTGAGAAGAACCATAAGTGCGACTATTGTGATACAGCGTTTTCTAGACAGACTAGTCTTATCAGACATATGACAATACACACTGGTGATAAGAAATATAAGTGTGAAGTTTGTGATAAAACTTTTTCTCAAAAAACTCATCTTATCAGACATATGGTGATACACACTGGTGAGAAAAACCATAAGTGTGAAGTGTGTGATAAAGCGTTTTCACAACAGACTTATCTTATCAGACATATGGCGATTCACACTGGTGAGAAGAAACAGAAGTGTGACTATTGTGATAAAACTTTTTCTGGACCGAGTAGTCTTATCACACATATGACAATACACACTGGCGATAAGAAACATAAATGTGAAGTGTGTAAGAAGACATTTTCTCAAAAAACGCATCTTATCAGGCATATGGTGATACACACTGGTGAGAAAAACTATAAGTGTGAAGTGTGTGATAAAGCATTTTCTCAAAAAACTCATCTTATCAGACATATGGCAATACACACTGGTGAGAAAAACTATAAGTGTGAAGTGTGTGATAAAGCGTTTTCACAACAAACTCATCTTATCAGACATATGACGATACACACTGGTGAGAAAAAACCATAAGTGTGACGTTTGTGTATAAAGCATTTTTTAAATGAGATAGTCTTATCAGACATATGGCAATACACACTGGTGAGACGAAACAGAAGTGTGAAGTGTGTAATAAAGCGTTTTTTTGCTGAAGATCACTGAAGACACATATGAGACTACACACTGGCGAGAAAAAAAATGAATAAAGTGATGCTGTGAAATATATTGCAAAATATGTTGGTGAGACAAAACAGAGATGTGAAGTGTGTGATTAAACCTTTCTTATCAAGGTTCTTTGAAAAAACATTACATCGATAAACATCTAAGTCTTTGTCATTAAATCCTCATGCTATTTTTAATCAAAATACTATTCACCAGCTGATTAAAAGCTAACGGAAGTTTGTTTATATTGTATCTGTTTATAATATATCCCCATGTTGTAATACATGTTGGGGGAGCAGAAGTATAAATGTGAATTATGTGATAAAGAGCTTTCTACACAAGGTAATCTTATCACACATACATGTTTGACAATACACTCTGGCGATAAGGAACGTAGATAAAGCATTTTCTAAAGAAATTTTACTGAAGACACAATCCACACATATGAGTATACACACTGGTGAGAAGAAATGCGGTTATCTTATCACATGTTTGACAAAACATGATGATAAGAAGATAATACAAATGTGAAATGTGTAATAAAGTGTTCTCTACACAAGGTAGTAACATATACACAGACATGGTAAAACATGCTGATAAAAACAACATAATTGTGATTTGTGTGATTAAGCTTTTCTCAGCAAGGTTCTTTAAACAAACATATGACATTACTCACTAGTGATAAAAACATAAGTATAAATTACATGTAGGTGACCATTCATTTTGTTTTTCAAAAGTAGTAGTTTCCTCACACATATGTTGATAAACACTGTAGGGATAAACTATATATATATATATGGTTGTTTAATTTACGATAATTGTGTTATGTAAATTTGACCTTCAAACACATATTACAACTCTTAAAAAATATACATTATTTGAATTATGCAATAAAAGCTTGTTGATCAAAGCCGTCATTCACACTGATGTGATCACTTTATATATATACATATGTGAAATATACACTCTCATAATTTACTGACGTCTTCCTGTTAATTTTAGAATTATAAATGACGTCCAATATTATATGACAATTGAATGTTATTAACATTCATATTTATACAAATAATAAAAATATGATAAAAAATAGAAGTAGTGTTAAAATAGCAGATAAAACACAAAAAAGGTAAAGAAAAAGAAAACATTTTTCACAAAAGATGCAGAAAAAAACATATTAAAAGAGATATTACAATAATTGTATAATGAAACAATTGCTCAACATGATCAACATGGTAATGTAATCGGTGTCATATTTTTACTAAGTGTGACGTCCAACTAAGTATAAAATTTTTAATGAACTTTTAAAGGATACAATCTTGAAGTGCCCAGATTAATGACCATTTGGTCAGTTTAATTAGATTTATGGTCATTAATTAATCAATATACCATTAAATAATGTTTATTTAATCAATAGTGTAAAATTAATTTTGGTATTAAAAAAGGGAGTAATCATGAAACATCTTGGTGTGAATCGTCTTGGAGTGAAACGATGTCTACCTGTAATGATAACACATAGTTACTCCCCTTTGATAAATGAACGCCGTTGGCCCATCGGGTAAAAAGGGTTTAATTACTATGAATAATTAAAATATTTTCTTATTTGACTATGAGTACAAACATTATTTGTAAAACAGTTCAGTAAATACTCATTATAATTTTGAATAGATCTAATAACGTTAGTTGTAAGACAAAGGCAAACAGGACGTTTCGGCCCCAAACCAAATCGACCCATGTGCTAAAATCGGCCCCTGTTATATCACAGTCTTATCAAAGTATTAAAGGATTTTTATACTTAAAATCGTTAAAAAGTGTAGTATATTGATTGATTGATTGATGACACACAAACATTGATATTGTTTTTTCAAGGTGTAAAAAATTAATCGTTTATAGCTTATTGCTAAGCAGCTAGTAATATTAAAGATTTATTACTTATAATTTGTTATAATTTTTTGATGATATTTTGAATTATTATTGTAACATTCTGATTGAAAATCTGTCTTTTTTTAATGTAAAAAAATCTTGTTTATAAAAGAATCTGTTAACATTGTATTGTTTGTTAGTACAAGTATAAATTTTTATCTGTTATGTGTTGTTTTGCATAGCTGAAACTCGTCACTTACTATTAATTTAATAGTTGTTGATAATAAACAATGATAAATGTTTGTTTCATGTATTGTTCTGCGGCTTGCTTTTTATCATTCAAATTAAAAAAAAAAAATTTTGTTGATAATAAGCAGATACAAATCTGTTTCAGTGTTCATGTACTATATGTATCTTTAGTTTAATAAAGTTAATGTTCTGTTCCTTTAGATTGCTACTATTTTAGCCTCCATGGCAGAGGGGTTAGAGTCAATGACTATTAATCCAGTTACCTCTCTGGTGTGGGTTCGATCCCCTAATGATGCTTTGGTAGTTTAGCGTGGAGGAAGGTAGTCTAGTAACTCTCCAGGAACTATGGTTAGGAGAGTACCCTCCTATATGACTGAAGAAATGTTGCGAAAAGGCATAAAAATGAAACAAACGAACAAACAAACAAAACTTTTTTAGCCTCATTCAATTACAAAATCATAATTTAATCATTCAATTAATTCTCTCATTGCAGGGTTAGGTTTAGGGTTAATAACAAGCCTTTGTATTATACCTTTTCTGTCATTGACCGAAAAGTAGTTTTGCTTGTAAGCTGTTATCTCCATAACTTCTGAAGGGTTTGTGCCTTTTTTGGGACAATTTTATGCATTCATAATAGTATTATAAGCAGTGATTTACTTGATAAAACATCTTAATAACAAGCCTTTGTACCTTTTCAGTCATTGACCGAAAAGTATTTTTATGTATTCATACGTAATAAGCATTAGCTGCATTACTATACTCAATAAAACACCTTTGTGACAACTTTTTGAATAGTGGAGCCAATACTGTCCTCCGACAGTTCTTGTATATAATTACATTTACTGACACAAAATTCAATCATGGATTAATTTTAAAACATTTTGTCTTGATATCTCTTTTAAGTAACAATTTGTTTAGATAATTTCAAATAATATGTTGACTTTTTCAGTTTCTATTGTGATTGTTATTGATCAAACCTCTTAATTACTTTTACAGTTTTATAGTAATTTTATTACTACTTAAAAGTTGATTGACTAAACAATCTATATCCTTAAAGATTTCTAATAGAGGGCCAAGTTGATCCGAGCTGAGTTGACCCATGCTGAGTATGCATAGGGCTGAGTTGACCCTTTACTGTGAACTTTTGGTTTCTTATTTATAACATAGAATTTACGTACATTGCTCAGTTGGTTACCCCACTAGCTGTCACTCCTGAGGTCCCAGGTTTGATCCTGGAAATATTTTTATTTCTAGTGTTATATTCATTGACTGGGATACATGTAGTTGAACCATTTATTGTTTCAAGTGACTTATTTCATCATTCTGGTACTGCATTGGAACACGGGGAAGAAGAAAACCATTAGACAATTACATCAACCAAGTAATTGAGGATCAATGGAACATCTTTATACATTTTTAGTTCATCAGAAATAGTAACACTTTTGTAGTGCATTTATTTAAAATATGTCAACAGTGATTTATTAAGAGACACATGTGATTGTGCTTATTTAATCATATTGTGAATTATTATGCATTGATATTGTCATATTTACAGGACTTGATAGGACTTTAGTTGTTGTGATATTGGTATCAGACTTGTGTAACAGTTAAGTTGTGGAGCTAGTGGCTAAAGATTACAGACCTGTGTAATTACAGTAATTACACCAGTTGGTTCACAACAGTCAGTGAGTACAGAAGTTTTTTTAGCATATTTTATAGCCAATATTCGATCATAATTATTTTCAATTGAAAGTAGTATAAATTATTATTCTTCCGATCCACAAGAAAAAATTCCCAATTGCAAGTTATAAAATAAAAATATTGAAATAAAATTCTTAAGTTTTTGAAAATAAGAGTGTCATGGTGCTTAAATGCCTGAAAATGCCATCCTTGACAGTGATTCTTTGCAAAATTTAAGTCTGACAGGCAATTTTTAACAATTTAAAAACATCGCTTAAATTCCCAATGCTAGTGGTATGTTCCCAAAATCCTGGGAAAAAACGCTGGAGTAAGAGATATTTTTTATACAAAAATTGCAATCATTTATAAGATTCATTCTGCTTCCCTGATTCATATATACAGTGTACAAAAAGAGCAGTTGAATTTATAATCTTTTACTGCAGTTTGCCAGATGAAATTGGGCCCACAAGCATGATATTTTCTTCTTTTCAATCATTGTGTTTTACATAAATTAACACTGTCTAGATCAAGGGTCCGCTATACATTTCAGGGAAATTTTTGGGCTTATTTTATAGCCGTTATTCGGTCATATTCCAAATTGAAAATAATATATTATTTTCCCAATCCACACGAAAAAATTTCCAATTGAAAGTTACAACATAAAAATATTGAATAAAAATTCTAAAATCTTTACAAATAAGGGCTTCTTCACTGTAATAGTGCTTAAATGTTTGAAGATGCCATCATATACAGTAATTGTTTGCATCTATTTAATCACTGCAAAATTGCAGTCCTGCATTTTTTCCAATTTTTAACAAAGCACTGCTGAAATTCCCAATTGCATGGGTATGGGTCATGTTTCCAAAATACTGGAAAAAATCCCTGAATTTAGCATATTTTTTTGCTAAATACTTGTAAAAAAATGTCATAATTGTTTCCATTGTCACTTCACGAGGTATTTTTCGGACTTCTTAATTAACATTAGTATCATATGTAAATCAATAGAATTCCACTATTTAAAGAAACTGGATAAAAGAACAACTTATGTTCTGTAAACAACGCAGCTGTGGCATTGCTTTAGAATTAACATGCTTAAACATGTTATACTTTTATATGGATATACCAAATAGAGAAATATTGTCAAAGCTGCGCACCTCCAGATGAGCAAAAATATTTCGATAAAATCAAATCTAAGAAAATGTACTAAGATTTTAGTTATGTATAAAGCTTCAAAATTATAGTAATAATTTACAACTTAACAAGTTTACAAGCAGCACGCCTCCAGATTCATGTTAAATTTTATGAAAATTTTAATCATGTATTTGACAGTAAAATATTGTGAGGTGAACAAATAAAGTTATTTACATATTGCAAGTACAATCCATGCAAATAACCAAAAAGAGGTCAAAATTTGCAAAAATGCCCTTACTGCAAAAGTAACGCAGTAGAAATATGGTGATAAAATACTGCAAAATCAGTCTTAAATCGCAAATAACATGTAAACTTTAACATTGATCTTGATTGATTTTACCTTTCTTGAGATATTAGTACATTTTTCTCAATTTTCATTTTCTTGAAATATTTTGGTTCTTCTGGAGGCTTGCAGCTTTATTGACCAATTTTTCTGTATTTGTAACTATATTTCTACTGCATTACTAACACAGTAAATGCTTTTTTGCATATTTTGATCTTTTTATGGTAATTTACATAGTTTCTGTCATTGATAATGTGTAAATTGCATTCTTTTGTAAACTTCACAATATCATTCTGTTGAATACATTTTCAAATTTTCATGAAAATTATCAAGAACCTGGAGGCATGCTGCTTCAACTCTTTTTCTAATATCAGCTAGGCATAGTGAATTACTTCTATTAAGTAACAGAGACAAAGCTTCAATATTTTTATAGGTAATATTTGTTAAAATTTTATTGTAGATTCTCCTTGACATTGGTCAAATAATTGAAAACAGAATAGAGCTATATTCATTTGAACAGCAATTAACGCAAACAAGACTAAGTTTAAGGCAAATATATATGATTTTTTTTCTAATTGAAGAACAGCAAAGATCTTATATTGGAGTCAAGTTCCTTATACAACACTTGCATATATAGCAAGGCAGTAAGATATATGAACATATATGTATTTTAATAATTTAACACACAGTCCATGACTGTACCAATATCAGTTTTAGGAAGATAATTTACTTGAACCTATAGTTGGAATCCACTGGTACTGATTCCGCTGAACTACATTCATTAATCGAATGAAGTATATATATGTACCAAGTGGGCATGGGTTACCAAGGATGACTTGAACATTGATTTGGTACATTGTGATTTTTAGCTCGACTATTTGATAAGAATAAGTAGAGCTATTGCAGTCACCCGAGCTTCGGCGTCAGCGTTGGCGTCTGCGTCGGTGTAACCACTTATGTTAAAGTTTTTGTAATAGTTCAAATATTTTCAAAGTCCATTGACATATGGCTTTGAAACTTTGCACACTTGTTCACCATCATGACCCCAACCTGTAGACAGGAGGAGGTAACTCTATCAAGCATTTTGACAGAATTATGCCCCTTTTTCGACTTAGAATTTACGTTAAAGTTTTTGTAATACCTCAAATATTTTCAAAGTCCATTGACATATGGCTTTGAAACTTTGCACACTTGTTCACCATCATGACCCCAACTTGTAGACAGGAGGAGGTAACTGTATCAAGCATTTTGACAGAATTATGCCCCTTTTTCGACTTAGAATTTATGTTAAAGTTTTTGTAATACCACAAATATTTTCAAAGTTCATTGACATATGGCTTTGAAACTTTGCACACTTGTTCACCATCATAACCCCAACCTTTAAACAGGAGGAGGTAACTGTATCAAGCATTTTTCTTACTATCAAGCACTAAGAATAGTCGAGCGTTGCTGTCCTACCGACAGCTCTTGTTTATGTACTAGAGGAGGGGTGTCATGCTTAAAAGTTAAAAATGTTAAATTCATAAATATAGGTGAATTGTACAAGTGAAAGATGTATTTATTAATTGTTACTTTACTTCAGGGTCTTTTTTCTATCAAGGAAATACAAGCAGACAAGACGGACAGTCAAGACACACTTTGTAAGGTATTATCAAGAATTTGTGTTCCAGAAAATGCGACCCTTGGCCTATGTAAAACTACACATAGTACTGATGTTTGTGATAAAACATTTACTCAACAAAGTTCTCTGAACGCACACATGACAATACATACTGGCGTGAAAATTATGTCTGTAAAATGTGTGATAAGGCATTTTCTAAACAACGTGATCTTATCAGACATATGACAATACACACTGGTGAGAAGAATCAAAGATGTGAAATATGTGATAAAGCATTTTCTCATCAACATTATGTTTTTAAACATATGGCAACACATACTGCTGAGAAAAATCATAAATGTGAAGTCTGTGATAAAGCGTTTTCTAGACGAGACAATCTTATCAGACATATGACAATTCACACTGGCGAAAAAAGATATCAATGTGAAGTGTGTAATAAAGCATTTTCTCGCGGAAGTACACTGAAAATACATATGACAAAACACACTGGGGATAAGAAACATAAGTGTGAGGTGTGTAATAAACCATTTTCTAGAAAAAGTTATCTTAGCAGTCATATGACAATACACACTGGTGAGAAGAATTATATATGTAAAGTGTGTGATAAAGCATTTTCTCTACGAAATAATTTGATCAGTCATATGATAATACACACTGGCGAGAACACCCATAAGTGTGAAGAGTGTGTTAAAACCTTTACTACATGGAGTAATCTTCTCACACACATGACTGTAGCACACACTGTGGAGAAGAAATATAAGTGTGAAGTGTGTGAGAAAGCATTTTTTCTACAAAGATCAATGAAAAGACATAGGATCATACACACTGTTGAGAAGAAATAGATAGAGTATGTAAATTATATCCTCTCATTGCGGTTATCTTATTACATATATTGCAAAACATGCTGGCCAGAAAAGACACAAAAGTGAAATGTGTTAAATAGCGTTTTCTACACTAGGTTGTCCTTTCACACATATGGCAAAAAATATTGGTGAAACATTACACAAATGTAAAATTGGTTGTAAAGCATTAAAGTAGTCTTATCATATGTATGGAAAAACATGCTGGCAAGACAAAACATAATTGTGATTTGTGTGATTAAGCTTTTCTCATCATGGTTCTTTTAACAAACATATGATATAACTCACTAGTGAGATTAACACTGTGAAAGACATTTGATAAAACACGAACGACTATTGAAAGAAAGGACAAATGGTTGAACATGACAAAGTATATGTGATTGGTGTGATATAGGCTTTTTAGTCCCCTACCGGTTTACCGGAGGGGACTTTAGGTTTACCCTCCGTCCGTCTGTCTGTCTGTCCGTCCGTCTGTCCGTCCGTCTGTCTGTCAGTCCGTCAGTCCGTCCGTCCGCAAAACTGGATCCCGCGATAACTTGAAAAGTACTGAAAATATTTTTATGAAACTTGGTATATGGATAAATGGCAGTATGGAGATTATGCACGTCTTTTTCTTTTCTTCCTATGTTGAAAATTCTGGTTGCTATGGCAACAAATAGGCTGAAAATATGGCAAATTTTACACATAAACTGGATCCAGTGATAACGCAAAAAGTACTGGAAATATTTTTATGAAACTTTACATATGGGTAGATGGCAGTCTTGAGATTATGCACGTCTTTTTCTTTTCTTCCTATGTTGAAAATTCTGGTTGCTATGGCAACAAATAGGCTGAAAATATGGCAAATTTTACACATAAACTGGATCCAGTGATAACGCAAAAAGTACTGGAAATATTTTTATGAAACTTGATATATGGATAGATGGCAGTATGGAGATTATGCACGTCTTTTTTTTTTCTTCCTATGTTGAAAATTCTGGTTGCTATGGCAACAAATAGTCTGAAAATATGGCAAATTTAACACATAAACTGGATCCAGTGATAACTCAAAAAGTACTGAAAATATTTTTATGAAACTTATTTTATTATGTTTTGTGGTCGATATTTTCAAATACAGACTTCATCCTCAAATTCATTATAAATGGCAATACACAGGAGTGTATGACAATTAAAGAACTTTTTGAGGGACCGGTAGGGGACTACTGTATTGCCCGCAATACTATCAAATGCTTGTTCATCAAGGTCCTTTGAAGAAACATGTGAATTTTGTGACCATTGATTTTTTTTGAAACAAGTGGTTTAATCACACAATATGTTGATACACATTGTAGAGGTTTATAAGCATGAACTTTAATTTACGATCAGAGTTTAGTGTACAACTTGTACATTTGACCTTCACACACATAATTATCATAAATTATAAGTTACATTGTATGTAAATTTATTTTATGCAATAAACATAATTATTATAAATTATAAGGTACATTGTATATAAATTTGTTTTATGCAATAAAGAGTTTGTTCACCAAAGTCTTCATTAGACAATTCACACTGATGTGATGACTTACATAATTATGTGAAAAATATGATCAGTTATCAGCCGACAGAAGTACTCAAAACACATATGTGAATTTATTCTCAGGAGAAGGAACATAGATGCAACATTTGCAAGAAATCATAAATTGAACGATGTTATCTTACCAGAAATATGATAATACAAACTGGATAGGAAAAATAATGATGCAAATTTGACCCTGAAACACATATGACTTAATATAATATACATTGCATTATGACTAAATATAATAAACATTGTATAATACTGAAGGTTTGTTGATTTTTTTTTCATTGCCCTTTAAGCATGAATACGGCTTTTCGATCTTCCAATGCATACGATCAGAGCTAAAACAACGATTACCATGCACTACAAAAACAACACTGAATGTGCAAGCTTCTGTTCTACGACTTACACTTCAACAACGACAACAAATATACATCAATCCTAAAATATAATGGGAAAGAAATATATCGGGGAACAATATATATATAAAAAGCTTGTCAACTTAAGATTCCTTTGACCCACATTCTACATATTTGGTATGGAGGTTAGTTATGACGAGTACATGACCCCTATTGATTTTGAGGCCACCAGGTTTAAGGTCAAGGTCACAGGGGCCTTGACTTCAAAAGCTTGTCCGCCCAATAACTTAAGATTCCTTTAACACACAGTCTTTATATTTGGCATGGAGTATAGTCATGATGAGTAGATGACTCCTATTGATTTTGAGGTCACCAGGTTAAAGGTCAAGGTCACAGGGGTGTTGACTTCAAAAAGCTTGTCCGGAAAATAACTTCAGATTCCTGCGTCTCAAAGTCTTCATATTTGGTATGGATGTAGTCATGATTAGTAGATGACCCCTATTGATTTTGAGGTCAGCAGGTCAAAGGTCAAGATCACAGCAGCCTTGACTGCAAAAAGCTTGTCCGCCCAATAACGTAAGATTCCTTTGACCCACAGTCTTCATATTTGGCATGGAGTATAGTCATGATTAGTAGATGACCCCTATTGATTTTCAGGTCAAAGGTCAAAGTCACAGGGACCTTGACTATCAAAAGCATTTCCGCCAAATAACTTAAGATTCCTTGGACCCACAGTCTTCATATTTGGCGTGGAGGTTAGTCATGATTAGAAGATGACACCTATTGATTAAGAGGTCACCGGGTCAAAGGTCAAGGTCACAGGGACCTCTTTAAAAAGTTTGTCCGCCCAATAAATTAAGAAATCTATGACCCACAGTCTTCATATTTGGCATGGAGGTTAGTCATGATTAGTAGATGACCCCTTTTGATTTTTAGGACACTGGGTCAAAGGTCAAGGTCACAGGGACCTTGACTATAAAAAGCTTGTCCGCCCAATAACTTAAGATTCCTTTGAACCACAGTCTTCATATTTGGCATGGAGGTTGATCATGACCGTAAGGTGATCCTATTGATTTTGAGGTCACTGGGTCAAAGGTCGACTAAAAAAACTTTTCCCCTCAATTGCTTAAGAATGCCTGTCGGCAGTGTATTGATTTTGACATTTTCACTTTTGAAGCATGTAGAATACATTACTTAATTAGAAATGATCTGGCTTAGTAAACTTAGATTTGGCAGGGACGTTGTCCTTGAGCTCTAAATGGCCACTGTTGATTCTGACAAAGTGGTATGTGGGGGTATTCACGCCATGACAGTGGCAGTTCTAGTTATCATCACTATAATTGTAATATATCCTTTAATCACAAATACAACATTTAAGCAAACTTTATTTGAAATAGTTATAAAACAGAAACAATCTAGGTTGATGCACGTCTGCCAGCTCATCTGCCTGCTTTTGAGTCGTGTAGAGTCAAGGTCAAAGTCATTGTTGCTAAAAATAGAAAATCTGTTTCCAGTCAGGACACTGTTACTAAAAATAGAAAGTAGGTGTCAGGTCAATGATAAGATATTAATATTTATTACATACTTATAAATGAAATATTGAGAAATATTGATGAAATAAAATGCGTATTTTCATTTTCCGTATTTTCACTGTAAAAATTTATTTTTCACTGCAGTGAAACATATTTTCCGTATTTTCACTGGTGTCTTGCCGGACTACTTTCTTTTAAATTCTGCCAGTGCACAAAATTTAAGGGAAAGTCTTTCAAATTGTAATGTCAAAAAAGAGAAAAATGTTTTATTGTATATAATAAACAGAAAATTCAAGTTTTTTCTATAAATACATGATTTATTTTCATCTTGTGGCATGAAAATTACCATATTTCACTCGTGGCTACCGCCACTCATGAAATATTTATTTTCATACCACTCGATGAAAATAAATCATGTATTTATAGAAAAAACTTGAATATCCTCTATATATTTTTATGAAAGTTAGTGTTACTTAAAAGCAATTTTTAATAAAGACTTCACTTGGGATGGCTCCCCCTGCCCCTAGGGTCAAGGTTACAGTAGCTTAAAAAATCATTATTTATGATTTACAAGGCACATAGTTACATTGTTTGTTGGTTGTATATGTATTTCAACTACAACAGATCTATCTGAAAACCTGGTTTCGTGGCATTGCCATGTTCTTGTTGGCTCACCTGAGCATATGCTCAGGGTGAGCTATTATAGGAGCACTCTTCGTCCGTCATACGCCGTCCGTTGTCCGTTCACACTTTTAAAACGTCATCTCCTCTGAAACCATAAGGCAGATCATAATGAAACTTCACAGGGATGTTCCTTGTGTGAAGCCTTAACAAATGTGTTCAAAGAATTCCTTTCCATGCAGAACTCTGGTTGCAGTGGCAACCAAAAGAAAAAACTTTAAATATCTTCTTCTAAAAATCCAAAGGGGCTAGAGCTTAGATATTTGGCATGAAATATCTTCTAGTGAGTGTCTACCAAGTTTGTTCAAATAAAAGCCCTGGGGTCAAAATTGGCCCCGCCCTAGGGGGTCTTTGATTTTCCCTATATGCATATAGTAAAAACTTAAAAAATCTTCTTTTAAATAACCCAAAGAGCTAGAGCTGAGATATTTAGCATGAAACATGTTCTAATGGGTGTCTACCAAGTTTGTTCAAATAAAAGCCCTTGGGTCAAAATTGGCCCTGCCCCAGGGGTCATTGATTTTCCCTATATACATATATATAGTAAAAACTTATAAATCTTCTTTTAAAGAACCCAAAGAGCTAGAGCTGAGATATTTAGCATGAAACATGTTCTAATGGATGTCTACCAAGTGTGTGTGGTCAAAATTGGCCCCGCCCCAGGGGCCTATATACAGGTGAGCGACTTCAGGGCCATCATGGCCCTCTTGTTTTTATTTAGCATGTTGTTTTAGTGCGTTCATAACAGCAAAATGAACTTAGATGATTTCCATATAGCATTGCATATAAACGTGGTCCTCTACAAAAGTTAAAAATGTGATGTCCCATATAGATCTACAAAATGTGGCACATATGTAAATAACCATGTTAGGTCAACTTGATTAATGTTTTTAATTAATAAAGTTTATTTTATCAAAAGTATCAAATTCATTTTTGCATAAAAATGGGCGGTATAGATGGATACCGAAAATACCCTAAAAATGGGGCATGAACCGTCTTGAGAATGAAATCTCTATGTACCTGAAATGATTACACATAGTTACTCCCCTTATATAAATGATCGTCATTGACCCCTTCGAAATACAAATATTGTTTCAATAAAATATCAGGTAAAAATGTTTAATATTTATGTATTTAGTTTTATTTCATGTAAGACTTTGAAAAGAAACACTTTGTTATTTGTCCATGAGTACATTTTATTGTAGTTTTCATTGTTAGGGTACATGTAGGTCGGATTTTATTCTAAAATCATGTTTACCATATCAAGACCTTTGAACATTTACAGTAACTCTGTAGAAAATGTTCATGGCCGGTTATGTACAGAGGACAAGTGGTTCTTCTGCTACTTCTTCTTCGACTACATTTTGTATATACTGGCCACCTTCATCTAACTGAAGTTTACTGCCAGGTGAATGCGCAAGAGGGAAAGAAAGAGTAAAAATAGTGAGGAATATATACAGTGCAGACAAGAGTGTGCTTTAGATATAGAGTTGGGACATATGAGTACGGAATGACTCAACTGTACCGGCTGCCATAGCAATGCATCCGGAGGTAGGCTGTTCCAGTCTGGAAGAAGGGTTGTTGACGGTATTGTGTACGGCAGTTGGGAATCTTGTAGGATAGGTTATGTGAATTTCTTGCAGGGATTTTTTAAAATTATTTTATAGACTTTATTGGGTCATATTCCCAATTGTAAATAGTATATTATTTTCCCAATTCACAGGAAAAAATTCCCAATTCAAAGTTACAAAATAAAAATATTGAATAAAAATTCTAAAATCTTTGAAAATCAGGGCTCCTTCACTGTAATAGTCCTTAAAATGTTTGAAGAAGCCATCCTAGACATTTATTGTTTGCATCCATTTAATCATTGTAAAATTTCAGTTATGCATTTTTTTTCCAATTCTTAACAAAACACTGATAAAATTCCCAATTCCATGGGTATTGGTCATGTTCCCAAAATCCTTAAAAAATCCCTGTCTTGTAGATGTGGAGTTGGAGGGTATGAGTTGTGAGTTGTCTAGAGCGACCTTGTTGTTGATGACTTTGTAGAGCATGATCAGTCTGGCCTCCTTGCGACATTCTTGTAGTGACTTCCATTCCAGGTCTGCAATGGGGTACTTGAAGGTTGAGGGGGTACATAAAAATGGCTCGTTTTCATAATATAAGTTTGTTTCTTAGCCTGACTAAATCGTATTTGGTATCCAATTTTCAATTTTACCTTATTCTGATATAGGTGAAACCAGAAAATTTCTTCAAGATTTTATGTACTGGATGTTCGACAGTGTGTTTGCAATCAAAAGCTGATTTATAATCATTGACAACCTGACTCAACTCTTACCACTATTTTTGTTACTTTTGTGCAGATAAAACTTGTCTGTACCATAGCTCTTCACACTTATTCTCACACGAATTGTGAAATTGATGTCGCTGCACACTCTGAACATACTTGATTCAGAAAAACTTGCTATTTGATAGCTAACGTGCAAAAAGTATATAAGGGAATTTTTTTATCCATAGACTTCATTGATAACACATTCGATACCAAAATTTTATGAGGGAAGCTATTGGAAATGTAATGTTCGAGACTGTCGCCATTTTGGACTATTCGTGTTTGAGCTAGTGTAACCCCAAAAACCTATACAATTTCGTCAAAAAATTAATTTGTGCAGGAGTATGTATGTCTTCTTATCTGTTTTTCGAAGCTTGACCCACTTGAAAAGACTGATCTTTCTCATATGTAGAATGTTCTAGAACTGTCGCCAAAATTTACTGGCATCGGTAATGTACGCGACTTGTAAATTAAGTGCCGCACACAACTGAAAAAACTTAGTAATCGAAGTCGTTTATATGTTTATTTACAATTAAATACTTATGCTACTATAGCCAGACTTATCTTTCTTATGATAAATTCTAAGAATTAAGCGATATTCTATTACTTTGACAGCCTGTGCCAGATGATGACTTAAGCATGTAATGTTCGCTACTTAAAAATTAGGACGTTCTACGCACTATTTCCCAATTAAGGAATTTTTAATAAATGATTTACATTTGGAGGGATATATAATAACCAAATCTGAAAGAATTGTGCCCACGAATCTTTTAATATATCTATACACACATATGTCTGTAATGTACGCGACTGTAATGTTCAATACAATAAAAATGTAACATGGCTTTAGTATACTTAATTTTCAATTAACAAAGACTTAAACTAGTCATTTTTGTGTTATACTTAATCATAGATGCAGCATAAATGTATACATCCCTTGTATTTTTACAGTTATAATCAAATATTCTTAATTTTGTATAAGTAAGACTTTAGAATCTAGTAACTGAATATCAGATTCTAGTAACTACAAAAACAAAGATGTGATACGTTTAATATTTATTTTCTTTTAAAGCCAGAATCTGTATGCAAGGTTTTCTTACTGAAATTGTTTAGATATAGATATTAAGTGATATGCCTTTCATAATAGGTATTGTAATGTTCACTACATTTCGTATCGAACATTACTGAATTATTCTGATGGCAATCTATACATTTGTTAATGTTTTCAGCGATTTTGCTTTTGTTTTGAGAAAATATTCCATAATTATATATTGTTTAAATAAAGTAAATAGGTGTTTGTAATTTAAATGCGTAAATATATATGAGACAATATTGTTGATTATCATCTTAATCAGTTTCAAACCCCAATAACGTTTCATCGTGTTAGTAAAAAACCTACTATTATAAACATACATATAATAACTGAAAATATTATCAGATACTATTAACATAGTTGCTGACATGTTTAAAATATATCATCTACAATATTATACACATGATAGCATCTACAACATATAAGAACGATGTATCAAACATTACAATATTAGTATCGAACATTACACGCAGATCTTGAAAGTTTTTCTTCATCTCTACAGTCATGTATGGTGAAATCTGTATTAGAAATAAGTAGCAATTGCACTTACAAGTGTAGAAGAGGAAAATACAATGATGGGTCTTTGTAAATGAAATATTTTAAACTACATAGGAAGCACATAATAATTTACAATTAAAATACATTTTATCTCAATATTGGCTAGTAAGATGCCCTATTTGAAATGTTCTGTTTAAATCTTAAAATTTGATGTAGCCTTAATAATATCAAAGGCATGATTTGTAATATATGTATTGTTATTCTGTACGCTGCATATATGCCCACGATCTCAGTAAATATGTTTATGACATTGATATCAATATAGGTCAGGTACCGGTATATAACTTCTTGTGTATGCCGGATACATAGTTATACTCGTAATCTAATTCGTTTGTGCAATATTATTTACCCATGCTATTAACTCAAGCTTAAATGAACACACTTAATAATATTAAGTTTAATCTTTAAAAAATGATTGTATAATAAAATGATAATAATAATAACTATTACTATTACCCACAAGGAATATTTTTACTGGATTACGTAATGTCCGAGACAATTGATGTTCTGTCAAAAAGACTCTACCAAAAAAATTTAGTCATGTATTTTGTTTGCAAAGTTTTTTTTCGTCACGTTATCATTATTGAAGTAAGGTTTAAACAAAACATAAGAACAAATAAATGGAATCATATAATTGAAATCAATCATCAAAAATTCCGCATTTTAAATAAACGTACTTTTGTAGAATTGCGTTTTATTGCGATAACTTTGCAAGCTCAAGAAAAAAATATTTCAAGCGTTTCATAGTGAAATATTTTGTTATTTTATAAATGTAATGAATACATGGCAAAAATAAAGTTCTCTGAAGTGGATATGTTTAATATTTCTTATGAAATTTGGAATGCTTTAATTAATAAACTGGTAGTAGCGTACATTACAATAGGATACATTTTACAACTAGGGTTGCTTCTTTCAGAGAGTGGTACTCGCAAAGTATTTGGTTGATGTTCAAAAAATTTCACAATTGTCTCATTTAAGGGTTTTACTTTTCGAAATCTTCGAAATTAGGCCCTATTAAGAAGATCGATTTTTTCGACTTTTGATCTGTCAATTTCACAATTCTTATGAGAATCAGTGTTCAATACAAGTGCAGCAATTTCTTTCTGAACCAACCAAGAAGAACATTACAGTCAGGCATATATTTAGATAGGCTATGGTGACCCTTACCAAATGTTTTTTTTTGTCCTTAACAATAAAAAAGTTATGTTAATTTATTTTCCTTAACTATGTGAAAATGATATTTCAAAAAGATTTGACCTTTAAAAGCACAGTTTTCCTTTTAATTGTGAAATTTGAGACCCACCCACAGATTCACCACCTGCCTGAAATAACCCATATACGTGTTATATATAATTATTAAACATATATTAAATGTTATATATTATATTAGTATTGGTTATTATAAAGATATTATGATTTAAGTGCACAGTTCAACATGCATTTACTTAGTAAGAAATATCCACATATCAGTACAGTGTACATTGAATGCATACATTAATAACCCCAGTGTCTGAAAAAGTTTAGAATGTTAAAATTCCTAAATATTAGGTGAATTACACAAGTGAATTATGTGATTAATTATTAATTTAAATTCAATGATTTACTTTCAGCAAGGAAATTCAAGCTGACAAGAAATTATCATTCAAAGAAGTTGTGTTAAAAGACATTCCTCTTACATACAAATAAAAGTACACGCTCAGGAGAAGAATCATAAAGGTAAAATGTGTTGCAAAGCATTTTTCAACAAAGTAATTTGATGAGGCCTAGTTTTCAGAACAAAATTTAACAAAAGTTGTTTTTTAAACTATCGCATTTTGTCAATATGTCGGTTTTAAAATACAGAGGGAGGAAATAAGATCTGCGAGTGCATTGTTGTGGAATATATCACGCTTCCAGCCTTCTTTTTTTATATAAGAGGAATCTCCGATAGCGTAATTTAGAATATGTTCTATGCAGTCGCAAAAGCTCCATGGGTAAAAGCATTTCTATAAAGTTAAAACCGTTTGTAAAAATAATATTTTATGACCGAGTGCCTGCCAAAGTAAAAAAAGAAAATTTATTAAAGTAAGGTGACTTGTATAAGGGAACTATGTTACTAATTATTATTTTAATTCAGGGCAATAAAGACAGATATCAAGAAGTGGTGGTCAATATAATGAGATGAAATGAGATAAAACATTAACTCAACAAAGTACTCTGAACACACATATGACAATAGACACTTGCGGGAAAATTTAAAAAAATGTGTGATAAAGCATTTTCTCAACAAGGTGATTTTAACCAGCATATGACAATACTCAATGGGGAGAAGAAACATAGATGTGAAATGTGTGTAAACCATTTTCTCAACGAAGTTCTTTGAACAAGCATATGACAGTACACATTGGTGACAAGAAATATAGATGTGAAGTGTGTGATAAAACATATTCGCACCAAAGTTCTTTGAATGCACACATGAGAATACATACTGGCGAGAATATTCATCAATGTCAAATGTGTTACAAAGCATTTTCTAAACAAAGTATTCTTGTGAAACATATGACAATACACACTGGTGAGAAGAATCATAAATGTGAAGTTTGTAATAAAACATTTTCTCTACGGAGTTCTCTGTTGACACATATGAGAATACACACTGGCGAGAAGAATCATAAATGTGGCTTGTGTGATAAAGCGTTTTCTACACGAGTAAATCTTATCGCGCATATGAGAATACACACTGGTGAGAAGAATCATAAATGTGAAGTGTGCTATAAAGCTTTTTCATGCCGAAGTAGTCTTAAAGTACATAATAATTATAAGAATACACACTGGTGAGAAGAATCATAAATGTGAAGTGTGTGATAAAGCATTTTCTAGACGACACCATTTAATTGAGCATATGATAATTCACACTGGTGAGAAGAATCATAGATGCAAATTGTGTGATAAAGCGTTTTCAAGGCGAAGTCATCTTATCTCGCACATGAAAATACACACAGTCGAGAATAATCATAAGTGTGATCAAACATTTTCTCAATAACATTCACTGAGGACAGATATGAAAATACACATTTGTGATAAGAAATAAGTAAAAGAAGTCTGTTATATTGTATTTTCTCAATGCGGTTATATGATATGTAGTGTTTATCTTAGGTGGTTGGCAATGATTAGATACTGGAATATTATAACCTATAAAAATGAATGACAATAGATTTACAAAATGTGCCTTTGTTGTCTACAGATCTATCTATCATAAATGACAAAAGTTGGTGTAGTGAAATATGTATGGTTACAAGTTCTACAATAATTGATTGATTTAGCGAGCTTACCTAGTTGAAGGTTGATCATAATTTCTTCCAGCAAAAAACTTAGGGCTCACTCAGATCCCATAAGCATACAATTGTTGTGTTCTTTCCATATATTCTTTTGAAATTGTCACAGTACACAATTAAGTATTATATGGATATGATCTAAGTACAAATGGTTGCATGTGAAAATCCCTCCGACTGTGTTTAAGTAAATTTAAAACTTAAAAGTAGAATTTGAGATAAAATATCTTTTATGTATATTTGACCTTCACACATATACATATATGTCATGACAACTCACTAGTGTGTGAAAAAATATAAACATGTAATATGTGTGAAGGTGCTGTTTTATCGGTCAGTTGTCATTCATATTATATAACAAGCTAGATTGATGAACAAAAATATTGGTGTGAAATATTATGATTTTTTCTTTTCAGTGCCTAAAAGATAATGGGAAAATTCACATTTGTGAAGCAATATATATGTGTGAAATATGTAATAAAGCATGTTTTAGACAAAACACATGACATTCACACCGATGAGATTAAAGATCTAGAGCATCAAGTAACATAAAACATTCACCAATGGGGTATTATGTGCATGCTCATTTTGTAATAAATCATATTTTTATCAGACAAGGAAGGGAGACATGAAATAAGATGTTCAACAAGAGTTAAAAAACAGATTACTACTACATTGTATGTGATAAATTTTTTTTTCCAAATGCAAATTTGACAAAACAAGAATTCTCATCAGGGAGAGAAAGGTGGATTTGTTTATTGCATAAATTCTAAAAGTGCAATAAATCAGCACAGCATAATTATAATATGCTTTTTAAAGGTTTAGAATGTGACATTACTTGTTTGTGTCTTAACTGATCGATTACACAAAAATTCTCACTACTTTTTAGCTCGACTTTTTTTTTTGAAAAAAAAAATAGAGGTATTGCTATAGTCGCGTTGCCGTTCCTGTCTGCAAACTTGTACCTGGATCATAACTTTTTTAACCAGGTTTTCCGAAGGAAAAAACTGGTTATTAGATTGAGGTATGTCGGCGGGCGGATGGGCGGGCGGGCAGGCGTAAACAATTTCTTCTGTGCGCAACTCCTCCTACATTTTTCAACGGATTTTGACCAAACTTTCACAGAAGCTTTGTCATCAAGTGACCTGGCGCATATTGTCGGGGTTTTGTGATTGGATAATATTTGACCTAATTATGGCCCTTTGTTTTTTTTCCTTATATAGAATATATAGTGAATAACTTCTTCTGTGCCCAACTGTTCCTACATGTCTCAATGGATTTTGACCAAACTTTCACAGAGGCTTTGTCATCAAGTGCCCTGGCGCATATTGTCGGGGTTTTGTGATTGGATAATATTTGACCTAATTATGGCCCTTTGTTTTTTTTCCTTATATAGAATATATAGTGAATAACTTCTTCTGTGCCCAACTGTTCCTACATTTCTCAATGGATTTTGACCAAACTTTCACAGAGGCTTTGTCATTTAACCAGGTTTTCCGAAGGAAAAAACTGGTTATTAGATTGAGGTATGTCGGCGGGCGGATGGGCGGGCGGGCGGGCAGGCGTAAACAATTTCTTCTGTGCGCAACTCCTCCTACATTTTTCAACGGATTTTGACCAAACTTTCACAGAAGCTTTGTCATCAAGTGACCTGGCGCATATTGTCGGGGTTTTGTGATTGGATAATATTTGACCTTATTATGGCCCTTTGTTTTTTTTTTCCTTATATAGAATATATAGTGAATAACTTCTTCTGTGCCCAACTGTTCCTACATTTCTCAATTGATTTTGACCAAACTTTCACAGAGGCTTTGTCATCAAGTGCCCTGGCGCATATTGTCGGGGTTTTGTGATTGGATAATATTTGACCTAATTATGGCCCTTTGTTTTTTTTCCTTATATAGAATATATAGTGAATAACTTCTTCTGTGCCCAACTGTTCCTACATTTCTCAATGGATTTTGACCAAACTTTCACAGAGGCTTTGTCATTAAGTGCCCTGGCGCATATTGTCCAGGTTTTGTGATTGGATAATATTTGACCTAATTATGGCCCTTTGTTATTCCCAATATAGGATATATAGTGAACGATTTTCTGTGCGCAACTCCTCCTACATTTCTCAAAGGGAATTTGACCAAACTTTCACAGAAGCTTTGTCATCAAGTGCCTTAGGGCATATTGTCAGGGTTTTGTGATTGTATAATATTTGACCTAATTATGGCCCTTTGTTTTTTTTCCTAAGTATACAGATTATATAGTGAACAATTTTTACCATGCGCAACTTCTCCTACATTTCTCAACAGATTTTGACCAAACTTTCACAGAAGCTTTGTCATCAAGTGCCCTGGCGCACATTATCGGGGTTTTGTGATTGGATAATATTTGACCTAATTATGGCCCTTTGTTATTTTTCCTTATACAGAATATATAGTGAAAAAATTCTTCTATGTTGAACTCGTACATTTCTCAATGGATTTTGTTCAAACTTTCACAGTAGCTTTTTTATCCAGTGCCCTGGCGCATATTGTCGGGGTTTTGTGATTGAATAATTTTTTATTTAATTATGGCCCTTTGTTTTTTTTCCTTATACAGAATATAATTATAGTGAACACTTCCTCTGTGACAATTCCTCCTACATTATTCATGTTTTACATTGCACATAGTTACATTGTTTGTTGCTTGTATTTGTATTTCAAATACAACATATTTATCTACAATGGTGATAATTGAAAACCTGGTTTCATGGCATTGCCATGTTTCTTGTTATTTCTCGGTGTATTGTCTTCATACTTGGCCACAACAACCCTTGGGACAAGACCTTTCAGTAGACCACACTAACCTTGACCTTCATCCATAAATGACCTTGACCTTCAAGGTTAAATGTCCAAATTTTGCTTGTTCATGCTGTTATTGGCTGTAACTTTGTTATTTTTGAATGGATTGTCTTCAAACTTGAACAGGATATCCCTTAAAAATAACCAGACAGATCTTGACCTTCACTCATTAATGACCTTGACTTTGAAGTTCAAATTATTGAAATTTTCATTGTTTTGGCTGTAACTGGCTGTAACTTTGCTATTATTGAAGGGATCAACTTCATATTATAACAGACATACTTAAGGACAAGACCTTGTTGTTTATCAAACACTTGGGCTCTTTAATGACCTTGACCTTGAAAGTTAAATTACTGAATTTTCTCAGATTTGTGCATTAAATGACCATATATATTTATTGGTGTGTGTGTGTGTGTGTGTATATATATATATATATATATACAATGTATATATATCATCATCATCAACAACAACAACAACACGTGTTACCACCACCTGTCACCTCCACCATGTGACACCACCATGTGACACCACATGACTCCACCATATGACACCACCACATGAATCCACCACATGACTTCACCATGTGACTTCACCACGTGACACCACCATGTGACTCTACATGTGACTCTACCACGTGACACCAACACGTGACACCAACATGTGACTCCAACACGTCACTCCACCATGTGACTCCACAACGTGACACCACCAAGTGACACCACCATGTGACACCATCATGTGACACCACCATGTGACACTTCCAGTTGACACCATCACTTGACTCCACCACGTGACTTCACCACGTGACTCCACCACGTGACTCCACCATGTGACTCCACAACGTGACTCCACCACATGACTTTACCACGTTACACCACCACGTGACTCCACCACGTGTCTCCACCATGTGACTCCACCATATGACTCCAACACGTGACTCCACCATGTGACACAACCATGTGACACAACCACATGACACCACCATGTGACTCTACCAAGTGACTACCACGTTACTCTACCACGTGACACCACCACGTGACTCCTCCATGTGACTCCACAACATGACCACCACATGACTTCACCATGTGACTTCACCATGTGACTCCACCACGTGACTCCAACACGTGACGGATCTACCACGTGACAGATCTACCCCGTGACTCTACAATGTGACTCTACAACGTGACTCTAAGACGTGACTCCACCATGTGACACCACCACGTGACGGATCTACCACGTGACTACAACGTGACCCTACCAGGTGACTTTATGACAAGACTCTACCACGGGACTCTACCACGTGACACCACCACATGGCTCCACCACGAGACTTCACCATGTGACACCACCACGTGACACCACCACGTGACTACAACGTGACCCTACCAGGTGACTTTACGACAAGACACCACCACGTGACAGATCTACCACGTGACTACAACGTGACCCTACCAGGTGACTTTACGACAAGACTCTACCACGTGACACCACCACATGGCTCCACCACGATACTTCACCATGTGACACCAACACATGACACCACCACGTGACTGATCTACCACGTGACTCTACCAGGTGACTGTACAACAAGACTCAACCACGTCACTCTACCACGCACGTGACACAACCACGTGGCT